TTTTTTTTTTTATTTTTGGCCGCCCCAGGAGGAGCCGGCGCTGCTCCGAGACGCTCCGGGCCCGGGGGCTCCGCACGGATCCGGCGCTCGGGTACGGACCGAGCTTAGGCCCGGCTTAACKAACGGGGCCTTAACGAGGGATCCCCGCTGTCCTTGTGCCATCCCAGAATCACATGGATCTGCCCCAAAATCACATGGATCGGCCCCAAAATCACACGGATTCATCTTGAAATCACACAGATCCATCCCAAAATCACACGGATCTGTCCCAAAATCACATGGATCCATCCCGAAATCCTGCAGATCCATCCCGAAATCCTGCAGATCCATCCCAAAATCACACAAATCAGTCCCAAAATCGCATGGATCTGCCCCAAAATCCCATGGATCTGCCCCAAAATCACACGGATCAGTCCCAAAATCACACAGATCGGTCCCAAAATCACACAGGTCGGTCCCAAAATCACATGGATCAATTTTAAAATCCCACAGATCCATTCCAAAATCCCACAGGTCCATCCCAAAATCACACAGGTCCATCCCAAAATCACACATATCCATCCCAAAATCGCACGGATCAGTCCCAAAATCCCATGGATTCATCCCAAAATCCCATGGATCTGCCCCAAAATCACATGAATCAGTCCCAAAATCTCATGGATTCATCCCAGAATCCTGCAGGTCCATCCCAAAATCACATGGATCAGTCCCAAAATCCCACAGATCCATCCCAAAATCCCATGGATTCATCCCAAAATCCCATGGATTCATCCCAAAATCCCATGGATCCATCCCAGAATCCCATGGATTCATCCCAAAATCCCATGGATCCATCCCAAAATCCCATGGATCCATCCCAAAATCCCACGAATCAGTCCCAAAATCCCACGGATCCATCCCAGAATCCCATGGATCCATCCCATGAACCCCCTGTCCCCACAGGCTCTCCCCGTTCCGGTGGCCCCGGGGGGCTCCGGGGGGCTCGGGGCCACCATGAGTGAGGTGCTGGTGGTCAAAGAGGGGTGGCTGCACAAGAGGGGTG